CGAGCCCGCGTTCCGCACAGGCATCGGTCTCGCATCACCAGCAGTCACGCAATGTTACTTCCCTCCAGGAGCCCCCTAAGGAAGGCACTGCTAGCGTAGATACGCCTGCGTGGTACACCCCAGTCATCCATCCACCCACCGAGGAGGACGGGGCGGTATCGGAACGCATCCTCTCGGGCATGTCTGACGAGACGATTACCGACCTTGCAGGCGCGAATAACCACATGTCGACGACGACGATGGGCTCCGCCCGCTCCATCGCAACGAGCGAGGTAGCGCACGAGGGCGATCAGATGCATTGCCCATCCAACTCTCGGATGAGCATCAATACGGCGCTGAGCTTTGGTACGAAAGTACCGCAAGGCGACTCCACAAAAAGTCCCGATCATGGCGCCCGCGATCTGCGACGCGAGAGCAGCGCCCACGCTCGCCCCAGTGGGCAAGCTGCGTCTCGTCCAGCGACGGAAATGACGAGCAGTCAAAATTCGAACCACAGGGCACGTGCTTCTTCGCTGCTCGAGCCGCAGGGCGCCAACGCACCGGTTCAAAGTGTAGTCGCGTCCGGTTGGTCGGTCTCGCGCGATTCTCGCGTCGCCGGAGGTGACCTTCGTGTCGAAGAGCTGAGAAGCCGCGAGGAGCTGACTCCATCTAGAGTCATTGACCAATATCGTTCCAGAGGAGCGAGCTTGGATCAAGCTTGGGCTGCAGCTGATCTGGGCTTGGCGTGGCGACGAGCGGGAGAAGATGCGAGCGCGTCAACTACCACGCATTCCTCCGAAGCTCACGAAGAGCGCAGACCAACGTGGGGATGGAGTCGAGCCCCACCCAAAAGGCCGACTGGATGAGGGCGTGAGGCGTGAGACGACAAAGGGTCGCAGAGCGTGGCCTCGCGCGCGAAAATATTCACCTCTCGCGTCGATGCTCTTTCATCACAATTCCTGTCGCCATGTACGTCGCGCACTAATCAATCTAGAATGCGAACTCCCATTTCAGCTTTGAGTTCTGGTAGTCTTGTGTCTGAATGCGCGCTTGAACGCGAGCTGGTGGTGGTGAGATGTCAGCACGCGACATGCGCGCGCGCGTGTGATGTTAGCACTTGCTCCGTGCGGCCGAACCGGCCTTTGCTGAGCCGGCGAGCGACGTCAGCGCGGGCAAAGATACGCAGCAGCAGCAGCAGCAGCA